TGACCGGGAACATAGAATATCCCTGGGTTCCAGTGAGGAAACCCACCTGTTGTTGTTGGAGTCGCGTCACTTTCTTTGTAGAAAATGTTTCGAATTACCACGACTAAAAGGAATTGACAGTACGACATTCAACAGATAGTTCGATCAAAGTGCCTGTTGACCAGGGATCTGTGTTTTCTAGGAATACAACGCGATCTCGGGGACATTTTACGCGACGAAACAAAACGCCGGTCGACCTGACAGGAAGAACTACATGCGAAGGAACTTTGCGGTAAACAAGCTTTACTTTTCCTTCACTTCAGTACAAAGAACGATCTTTGCAATCTATTAACGTGGCAGATATGCAGCAATTCAGAACAACATCTCATCAAGAGATGCGCGTGGAGTTTATATCACATTTTTCGCCAACACACGCCGAGGAAGCGTTTTGTTGTATGAAAACAATGAGGTCTACGGGAGACTTGTGCGATGTCAATTTACTCGTCGGTGAGCCAAAACGGCGGATTACAGCGCATCGACTCGTGCTGGCGTCCTGTAGTCCTTACTTTCAAGCCATGTTCACAAGCGAGCTGATTGAAAGCAGACAAAGAGACATAACCCTTCAAGATGTTGACGCCGATGCGATTGAACTTCTCGTAGAATTCGCGTACACCGCACGCATTCAAGTCAGTGAAGATAACGTCCAGGCATTACTCCCCGCGTCGAGTTTATTACAACTAACGAGTGTGAAAGACGCTTGCTGTGAATTTCTTAAAAATCAGCTTCATCCGTCGAACTGTCTTGGTATTCGGGCGTTTGCCGATACGCACACTTGCGTGGATTTGCTAGAATCCTCGCATCGTTTTGCCCTTCAACACTTCTTGGAAGTCTCGCAGACCGAGGAATTTATGCTTCTCTCAGTCGAGCAAGTCTTGGAGCTCATCTCCAATAGTGACGTTAACGTAGAAAGCGAAGAACAAGTCTACAACGCTGTTATAAACTGGGTTAAGTCTGATGTGGAGAACAGACGCGAGTTTGTACGAGATTTGTTGCCTTTCGTGAGGCTGCCTCTGTTGACAAGAGAATGCTTGATGACCCGTGTCGAAACTGAAGATCTGATCCGAAACACCCCAGATTGTAAGGACTTGCTTATTGAAGCAATGAAATACCACTTGCTTCCTGAACAGCGCTCGGTACTTCAAAGCCCCAGAACTGTCTGCCGCAAGCCTACAGGGCAGGTGCCGATTCTGTTCGCTATTGGCGGTGGCAGCCTCTTTGCCATTCACAGTGAGTGCGAATGTTATGATCCAAGGATTGACAGATGGTGCATGGTGACTCCCATGTCAACCAAGCGTGCCCGGGTGGGTGTTGGGACGGTCGGCGGAAAGATTTATGCTGTAGGTGGCTATGACGGAAGTAGCGACCTAGCGACAGTTGAAGCCTACTGTCCACAGAGTAACCAGTGGCTAGCAGTGCCGTCTATGGGAACTCGTCGGAGCTGTTTGGGTGTGGCTGTCTTGAATGGATTGATCTATGCCATTGGTGGTTATGACGGAGCCTCTTGTCTGAACAGTGTTGAGAGATTTGACCCTTTGACAGCTCAGTGGACATCAGTCACTGCAATGAACACAAGAAGGTAACGGCCATTACAAGTTTATTCCTCACAGGTACCTGTTGTTACTATACAGACATGATGTACATGTACATCTGTACGTACATGTGTCGCTGATTACGTATACAGTGTAAATGTACAGTTGTTAGTCTCACTTAAATTTATTTTAGATACATGTACATGTACTAGGAGCTGCGATTTAGCTATTTACTGAAAACAACTTCAGAATCTGCTGACTAACTCTCCTCTTTTGGGGGGGGGGGGGGGTGAAGATTGGCCTTCTCTTGTCTAAAATGGGGGTAGTTGAGGTGACCTTTTTTGCTCAACTAGGGGTGGTGGGGCTGGGCCTGGGCCCTCTGGTCCCCTGTAGATCTGTCACTGCTGTATCAGGGTAAAACAAGCTACTGTAGTACATGTAGTACTGACTGCCTGGGCCTTAACTAAAGGTGGTACCATAGGCTAAAGTATAGTAAGTTTAATAATTGTTTTCTTATTAGACGGTATGTACGTGTCGGTGTGGTGAATGGCATCATTTATGCCATAGGAGGCTATGATGGCAGTGCTCACCTTAACACAGTGGAGTGTTTTGATCCCATGACCAATGCATGGAAACCAGTAGCCAGTATGGCTAGCAGAAGAAGCAGCGCTGGTGTGGCTGTCTTGAACGACATGCTGTATGTTGTAGGTAAGTGAGTTACATTGTACTGTCAAAAATGGATGGAATAAGCTAGCAACATTGTCACTTAAAAAAAAAAAAAAAAAAACATTGTCACTAGCAGCTGCCACTGCCTAGCTACTCTTTTACACTCACTGTATGGTAATAGAGTAGTGTGTCAGACTTTGACTCGTCTCCAGTCGTCTTCCTCGTCCCTAGTATAGACACACCTGTCTGGGCTGCACGAGGAGTGACGGGGAGGAGGATCTCTCCTCTTTCCCATTACTCTTTGTGCACCTTGGCCACGTATGACAAAGGGTGCGGCTGGCATATCAAGGTCTGTTATTTGAACCTGGCCAATATTATAATAAAGGCCAACCTAAAAAAATAAAAAAAACTGGGAGATTGACCAATTTTGCCAAACAAGGACAAATGTACAAGTACAGTTCCAAAAGAAGAGGACCAAAAAAGCTCCTCAGATTCCACCATTTGAAACAAGTTGATAAACTTCCAATCCCCCCCCCCCCCCCCCCCCCCACCCCTCAAAGCAGACATGTACATGTACATGAGATACTTGTATATCCAGACCAAAATTGAAAGTTTGTATAAAACTGTATACACTGCATTACAACTTTACATGAATTTACATGTATATTACTCTCTAAGGCAGACACCCTCTGGCTGAGGACCAGCTTAGAGAGGGAGCCAGATACATGTAGCTTAGTACATGTATTTGTGCCTAAGAGAGGTGTACATGCTACAATGTACGCTTGACTCATAATTTTTAATATTTTTGGACTTTTATTCCAGGAGGGAATGATGGAGCATCCTGTCTGAACACAATGGAACGTTACGAGCCAGTTGCTGATTCTTGGACCTGCCTGGCGCCGATGAGCATTCGCCGCAGTACTCATGATGTGGCAGTGATTGATGGCACACTGTATGCAGTGGGTGGCAATGATGGTAGCTCCAGTTTAAACAGCATCGAAAAGTATGATCCCGAGACTAACAAATGGACTTCAGTTGTCTCCATGAGCACTAGAAGAAGCAGTGTTGGAGTTGTAGTGGCTCAAGTCTTGCTACTGTAAAGGACCTTTGATCCTTGTAAAATCCTGTATGAAGCTGTTGATTTCCCAGTGTACAGTTAGGCCTCCATTACTCTCTCAAGTTCCGGAGAGAAATGCAGGCTCATAAATTTTTCCCAAACATTGGCTGTTAATTGAGCCCAAGTGTGACTGTGTGTACAACACCTTTTTATGACATGTACTACATGTGGCTAGGCAGGTTTTTCCTTCACAGTACTTTTAATTTACGTTATTACCCGGGAATGTCAAAATTCACAAAACATGGGACAAGTCATGCTGTTGTTGCATACATGTACATTGTATCTGAGAAGGGACACCCCCATCCTTCCCCTCTCCAAAGGATTCAAGGTTATGTTTGATAGAGACTACTTGTAGCTACACATTCAAGTATGTACAGTGCATCTGCATCCTGCATGTACATTATGCTGTATAATATTAGACTACGAGCAGTCCCTCTTTCTTTTAGCTCATCGAGCGAGGGTACGGCCATGATTCGTCTCACTTTAATTTGCTTCTCGCTCGGTGAACTAAGGGAACGAGGGCCTAACTTGTGGTCTTACATATACATCTGTAGTAAACTCATAACTCGGGATAATTTATGGTGATCATACATTGTACATGCATGTACAGCTTGGTTCATACACTAAAATTGAAATGCTTGTCTTTATGATACCGTAGTTGCCTGGCATAGGGGCCATACCCTCCATGCCATCTGAATAGCCAATAGAAACCTTGTCCTTTCACTGTCGCGGGTTAAGACCAACTGACATTACAGTAGTGTACATGTATGTAGTTTTATTTTGTACGATATTGTTGAGACTGTTATTATTTTAAGGAGAGATTCAATGTGGTTTCATGAAAATAATTATGGTATAAATTATACAGTGTACATTCTATTAAAAAAATTCACAAAACCCCAACTTTGTTTTTTGTGTGTGTGCATTGACCCTCTCTCTCTCCTCTTAGGTTTCCAAGGCTTCGCTTCTCTCCTTCTCCTTTCCAGTGTCCCCCACTATGCTTACTTTTTCTTTCTCCCAGGCCTCTACATGCTTTACATCTCCCAACAGTTTTTGAAAACAACATTTTTACTCGGGCCAAAGTGGCCACACCATTGGAGCCTATCCTAGTTTCTGTAGCATGTAGCAATTACATGTAGTGTTTGCTACTCCACTCGTTACCTAAATTGTGTCAAAGTTTCCCATAAAATATCCATACCCTCCCATGAAGGTTTTTCGTTTGTACCCCATGCGCCCACCCCCTGGAATTTCCAGTTTAGCTTCATACTTTCCTTTTGAGACCCCCCCCCTCGGAATTTCCAATGACCTTCCTTGGGGTGGGTATGGATATTTTCTGGAAACAAGCAATATACTCATGGATGGAGAGGGGCAATGTGGCTGAAAGAACATGTAGTGTCTTGCCCCAAAACACAAAACAATGACCCTGTGTTAGACTGTGAAAAAAGGGTAAAGTCTTCACAAGCCTAGTGGCCCACAACTGCCAGAGCTTATCCGGTTTCTGTAGCATTAAGCGACTAGGAGTATTGCTACTCCCTGGATGGGATGCTAGTCCATCGCAGGTTACCCCCGCATTTTGTCGCCAGTACCCATTTATACTCCTGGGTGGAGAGAAACACTGTGAGAGTAAAGTATCTTGCCCAAGAACACAACACAGTCACCCCGGCCAGGGCTCGAACCTGGACCGCTCAATCTGGAGTGCAGCGCGGTAACCATTAGGCCACCACGTCTCCCAGACGTTAGACTGTGAACAGTTCCTCCACTTCTTGCGCTGAAATTGTCGCGCTGTCACGTTTGATCGTGAATCCAAGATAGCGGCTCCACGATTGACCGTGACGGTGCAACAATTTCAGCACAAAAAATAGAGGGACTGTTCACAGTCTATTTTTGGGTGGACTTATAATTTTATGGTACATGTATAAATTATGTCAAACTAATAGATTCAATGATATACAATCATGATGTATTTTCAAAAAAATGCTCAGTTTATTTTTCTCCACATTCCACTACATGTAAATAGTTCTGCAAACTAAAGCTGGCTAAGTTCATAAAAGGCTTAAGAAAACAAATAAAATCACCAGAAATGCTGTTTTCCAAGTTAGAGTACAATCATGTAGTCTAGACTGTTTGTTTGTTTTCAGAATTATCTGCTAAGCCCTGTCCACACTGTCTTACATGTAAGCTTATGTTTTTGTATGAAACATTCTCATTTGAAATATTATTCCCATCTGACAAGCATAATATGACCATCTCAGTCAACATTTTTGTTTTACCAATCTGCTTTTAAATGGCATGTGACAAATTAATTTTGTTTTGGAAAACCTTGAGTTCATTTTGCATTTTTACCATCCGGACCTACATGTAAAAGATCACAGTTTGGAAAACGTATTTCGCTTTTTGTTAGTACTATGTGGATGGAAGGAAAAAACAAAAACAAAATTGTTTTCATATGAAAAAAAACCTCCAATATATTATAGATGTGGACAGATCCTTGGAGAGCTAGGCCAGGGCAGTTAGTGGGGCAAAACAAACTAAACCAGGCAAAATTGGTGCAGCATTCTTTGTCTCCCCCTGACTAACTGCCCCTGGGTCCCCAAGGATAATGTGGACAGGGTCTGAAATGCATACATGTTAATGTATGTAGTACTCTACACAAAACACGTCATTTATCATCAGTGGACACGCAGTGACAAAATAACCCTCCATTACTTTATTAGCAAGAGTCAACATGTTTGACAGTCAATATTGATGGCAGCTCATTTCTTTCTTGATGGCAATCCTAAATCCCTGAAATAATAATACAAAATAATAAATAGGTAAGTAGAGAAATGAATGCTAAACGATCCCCAACATAAAATAAATAATTACGAGAAGGAAAGCCCAAACATTTTAGAAGATTAGTCTTAAAAGTACCAAGAGAAGAGGACAGGCGCATCTCAGAGGGAATACTGTTCCACAATTGTGTTGTTGAGAAAATAAAATATTTCTTATGTCTTTCTGTCCGAACATAAGGTAAACAAAGATCATTGGCCGAGCGAAGACTATAGCATGATTTCTCACTAACAAAAGCAGGACAAAGATTACTCAAGTAGGGAGGGGCTAACTTAGAAACCATTTTGTACAACAAGCATAATTTGTGCATTTTTCTTCTGATGCTAAGTTCTACCCAAGAAATATCGCGTAAAAGGCTATCCCTGTTTGTCCCTTTCATAGCACCAGTAACAACCCTAGCACTTTCAATTTGTAAACTTTCCAACAAATTACTATCAGATTCAGAGCAACCATCCCACACAACATCAGCATATTCTAGGGATGAGCGCACCAGGGACTTATATAATACATCAAGTGTATAACGGCTCAATTTATATTTCAAGGGCTTAAGAAGATTCAATTTTTTAGAAGCTTTTTGGTGTATTTTCAAAATGTGTGCTCGCCATGACAAATTAGACGACAAAGTCAAACCAAGATGTTCGTGAACTGCCACATTCTCAATGGCTAGGCCATTCATAATTAAAGGTGCGTGATCCGGCTTATCTCTTTTTGACGAAAAAACCATCGACTTAGTCTTAGTTTCGTTCATAGTTACCAACCATTGAAGAGCCCAAGATGATATTGTTGCCAAATCGTTATTTAATTTGGCAGCACAAGCAATTGGAGAGTGAACTTCTTCCAATAAGAAGCAGTCATCAGCGAATAAAAAACAATTGAATTGACAGAGTTTGGTAAGTCATTAATTTAAATAAGAAATAGCAGCGGACCAAGAACCGATCCCTGAGGAACACCGGCTTCAATATTACACCAGTCAGAATGAGTTCCTTCAATAACTACTCTTTGTTTACGATTAGAAAGGTAACTAGTGAACCAATTCAGTAAGCTCCCCTCTACTCCAACATTACTTAGCTTGGCCAACAGACCACGATGCCAGACTCTATCAAACGCCTTAGATATATCAAGGAAAACTGCCCTAATCTCGTTGCCCCTTTCAAGAACTTCGTAAATTCTATGAACGATGTACATAAGTTGCATTACAGTGGAATCGCCAGGGCGAAAGCCACTTTGAAACCTATAAAAGAAGCCTGTCATGTCAAGAAAATTGTAAAGGTGTATAAAAACAACCTTCTCACAAATTTTGGATAAACATGATAAAAGAGAAACAGGACGATAATTAGTTTTCAGCTGTCTATCGTCTTTTTTGAACAGCGGCAACACGTTAGTTGACAGAATTGTTAACATCGCACTGCGCCCATAGAAGCTCTAGCCGGCCAGACAATTCAAGATCATCACGTCTTTTCACCACAATGTGATCCTTGGCATAAATAGCAACTCCGCCCCCACGTTTCCCAACTCTGTCTTTTCTCAAGGGATGACTATAACCAGGAATTAAAATAGAATCATTTCCTACACTTGAATTCAGCCATGTTTCAGAAAATGCAAATAAATCAAAGTCATACAAACTAGCCAAAACAGAGATTTCGCTCAACTTGTCAATAACATTTAGACTCCTTACATTCAAATGAGCAAGTGAAAAATTGAAATTGTTGGGACCCGGATTTGGATGAACCGAACAAGAAATTAATAAAAGCAAACCCAAACTCGCAATTAAGACGAACAAAATAGCAACAGATAAAAATGGTAATGCAAAAACATATCTACACGAGACCGAGATGCAACAATTGAAAAGCCCAATTGCTGCTCTGTACGATTCTAAACTAATTCCCATCGATAAATACTATAAATAGAAAAGAGCTTACCTTCCGCGCTGCACAGCAAAATACAAGAGATGAAGTAAACAAAACGATAAAATAAGTTAAAAAAAAAAAAAAAATGAATGAATGGAGCAAAAAAAAAATAAAGAAATAGAGATTACTTCATGGTTGGTGAGCGCGTACGATTTTTATTCACGAGTTGTGAAGAATAACAAACGAACGAGCGAGCACAGCGAGCGAGTGAGTTTGTTATTCTTCACAACGAGTAAATAAAAATCGTACAAGCGAACTAACCATGAAGTAATTTGTTTATTACATGAGTACTGAGATATTACAATGTTGAATAAAAAATATATTTTTTCAAAATCGCCGTCGCCGAGGCGAAAGCAAAGTTTCACATAATCTTAACTCAGCTCAACTGCAAATAATTCGGCAAGTTTAATTCGACATCAAAAATATTCTACAGAGCAAATAGTCAGCTGATCAATTCAAGAAATGCAATTAAAATGTACTCCAGTCAGTAAACGAGGAATGAACATGATTTTGTTTACATCCACGGCACAAAAATCATTAAGTCAGCTATGCCGCTTTGCATGCAGCCGAGCTCGTAGCTGAATGAATGAATCAAAGTTGAAGTTTTGTCGACTTTCCGTGGATTTCGATATAAAATCGATCCATAATCAATATTAATTATCTTCCCCCACATTACCTGAAGTTAGTTGACGGCAAATTTCCCTTCGCCGCTTTCCAGTAGCGAGTTCAATCCGCCACGAAAGTTTTTGAGACGACACTTCAATAAACGGCAGTCGGACGATGTTGTGTTTGTTTCTCGAAGTCGATGTCAGGCTTTCGGCTGCTTCGGTTCTTGATATTTGGTCCATTACTTACATTCCCTGTTGGGAGTTTTTCATTGTATCCGCTTGAATTATTTTCTTGACATTTAAAAAAGTCGGAACGAATCTTGAAACCTTGTTTAAATTTACAGCGACAAACAACTGTCAACTAATGGCGGGAAAATCCAATACGATTTTTTTTCACTAGTGAGTTTTCGTCGTTCGCGTTTGTGATTGGACGAACGACGTTTTTTCACTAGTGAGTTTTCATCGTTCGCGTTTCCTATTGGCTAATGGATTTTATGTATCATTTATACGCAATCGTTTTATTGTGAGTAAATCTCAGTACTTATGTAATAAAATAATATATGTTACACTAAAAAATAACTATGCACATATTTAGTATGCCTACATGAACCTGGTTTTATTGCACCAGAATCCACACTACTTAAATGGGTTTCTGATGCAGCCAATATTTATATGACCACAATTAAAAAATATATATATATTTAACAAATAAAGAAGCCAAAACCATGTATTATACTGTCATAAAACACGACGGGAATTTGAGAACACGAGAGAAATTTAGAAAACACGAGCCGCAGGCAGGCAGTTCTCAAATTCCCGTCGTGTTTTATGACAGTATAATACATGGTTTTAGCTTCTTTATGTGCTTTAAAATATAGATTTACGCGCGCGAAATGATAAAACACGCTTTTCTATGATTTATACTCTGATAAAACATGGTTTTTAACCAATCAGAGCGCGCAAAATTTTCAGTCTATATTTTAAATATATATAATTTATATGCTATAGTTGACTTACTCTTCTATGTCGTCTGTGTCTCTAACATTCAACATCAATGCTCCACCATCCAAGAACACCATGTTTTGTGAGTTTGCCATCTAAAAATCAATCAATTTAATCAGTTACTCAGTGGGCTGGTCAAACAATAATGATCAATTATTTATTTACAAAAGTCACTTATTATAGAAGTGTCAAATGCATATAGCACTGCTAACTGAATCTTACCGTATTGGAGACAGCCTGGGCTGCCCGTATCCTTCTCAGTTTCAAATAACCAGGATTACTCTTCAAAGCATTGCCAAGGTGACCATTGTCAAGGAAAAAAAGACTGCCACAGTAATGTTACAACTAGTATGTACAATACATACATACATGTACAAGTTC